GTCCATTAAAAAGATGCGGGAAAGGGGAACATCAAGTTTTATGAAAAGGAAATTTTAAATAAACTTTCAGATTTACGAACGATTTAGTAGAATTCTCCAACGTCAAGATGATACTACATAACAATTACTACTACTACTAGAAACAATTAATTTATAACTATTACGCATTGTTTACTTAGTTAAAACCTTACAAAGACCATGTAAAATGAAATACTGTCTATAGTTTACGCGAGTAGTACACATTTAAATAAAACACTTTAACGGTTTAAAACGAGATATATTAGTTAAACTTATTGGAAAAGGATTTCTAACTTCGGCCCGACGTTTCGGATGCTTTGCAGCAGCCGTGGTCACGGGGAGACAAATAAGTTTAACTAATATATCGCGTTTTAAACCGTTAAAGTGTTTTATTAAAGTGCTCTCTTTTATTTAAACCATGTAAAATAATTTACCGTTAATTATATAGAAAAAAATTGTACTTTATTTATATTTTTTTTCGTGTACAATTCCAGAATAAGCCCGCGCAGACGTGACACGATAAAATACATACAGGTATGCTCTCGATAACAGAAACTGTATCAAACATTAACATTTCAAAACGGTCACCGGTTTTAATATCTCTCATATATTTTATTAATATTATAGTATGAAGCCGGGTCATTTCTGAGTTAAGAGCTTTATCAGAATTCCTTATGGCTTATTAAGAAATGTAATTAAACTCGTGCGCAAACATTAATGCAATATTAAACTTATAAAAACGGTTTATTCCGTAATTCCGCGGCGTTATATAAAACTTGAAATATTGAATACTAATATACAAAGCTGAAGAGTTTGTTTGCTTCAAGGCGCTAATCGCAGGTACTACTGCTTCATATTTAAAAAAACCTTCTCTTTTTGTTAGAGCATTTGTCGACTATAGGCTATAGACATCACGCTGTGACTAATAAGCGAAGAACCAGCGGGAAATGTGGAATAAACGAGGAAAATTATTTCTCTTTTTAGTCGTGGTTAAACAGCTTAAATTCATAAAGGTGGGGGGTTGAAAAACTAATTTTGAGCCAAATTCTAATTCTAAGCAGACGAAGTCGATGACACAGCTAGTATCTTAATATATTCCCCGGGAATGGCGGGGGCCAAGATAACAAATTAAAAATTAAGAATTTTCCTGTCTTGTTAACTATTTCATCAACATTTAGTGACACTGTTTGACCCTTAAGACGTAACATACAAACACACCCACATTAAACACACACACTTAATAATTTAAACGCGAAATAATAACTATATTAAAACGAATACTATTAAGTGGACATATTGTATTTAGAAGAATTTAATTTTCATTAGTATAATATTATAATTGAATAACTTAGAAATGGTTCTTTTTAGCCAATATTAAAAGATATTCATAATATATTGTTATAGAGATTATTTTAGAACAAGATTAATTCTTAACATTTTTTTTTCTTTAACTGCTTTTGCGACGCATGTAACGGAAGCCTACAAGGGGGAATAATGTCCCCCGATTTTCCACATTTCCCCCTGTTTCTTAGTTGCTCACAGCCAAATGTTTTATAGCCTAAATCCTACCTCAATCAATTTTCTATAGAACACAAAATTTTTCAATTTGACCAGTCATTCCTGAAGTTAGCGCGTTCAGACAAACAGACAAGCTTCAGTTTTATAATAGTATTAGTATAGATTCCAGTATGCCAGCAATGTTTGCACTACACTCTATTAAAATAATTCATTCGAGTGTAACAAACATCTGTTAGTAAAAACTTTCGCATGAGAGATGATACATCCGGACGACTCCAATAGATAAATTAAATAAAAGCATTTGGCCTCTCTGTCAAGGGGTGTGGCGCGTGCGCCGCCCACACACACATTACCAAGTCTAATAGACGGATTCACACAAGTTATCATACATTTATGACAGCTCAAATTTATCATTATAATAAATTCGGTTTTAACATTATGTATTTATTGTTATTGTTGCCGGACTATGTATTTAATGGAAAAGCCGTGGAATGTTTATTCGCGTTTCGGTTGCAGTCTGTGGATTTAGGATTTTCAGACCAATATAGCGCACTTTGCAAGGAAACTTCATGATTGTGTGATCAATATAGGTAGTTTTTTTAATTTATAAAAAACAAATTCTAAAGATTTGTGTCCACGCCTTTTCTGGGTCTCACATATATATTTTTCGTTCATTATTATAATGATATTCGGAAGATAGTTGCAAAAATTATAAGACTAATATATTTCACGTTTTAAACCGTTTTTTTTTTCGTTTTTTGTAGGCGACAATTATTGGACTTTTAACACCGATGGGCAAGAACACGAGCGAATCACTAATAAAAATTTCTCACGCTAAATCCGTGGCTTTCGCTTAAATACGAAAAGTGCGTAATTGCTGAGCTTGAAAAAACGGTAAAGCGTGGTGCGTGATAACTCGATGTAATTTAATGATTGAGGCTGTTAAGGAAGTGTTAACGGCTCACGAATTGTGATATAAATTGATCGACGTGTTAGGGCGTTAGGCTCGGGTTTCCTATCAACGCTATAGGTTGGCGCAGCGGCTTGCGATCTACAGGATACCATTAATGTTACACGTTTATATAAATAAATAAAAATCATTTATTTCAAAAGTTGCTTACAGAAATAAAATCTATGAACTAATATTAACTTAATACAAAATTCTATATTTTAAGCTTAACAAAAAAAAAATAAAAAAATAAATGACTATGGCAACTCTTAAAACAGGAGCCACTCAGCTTACTGTTACGAACACACTTGTGCTGCAGCACTGATTTAATCGGTGATTTTTATATCGGAATCTGGAGTGTTTTATTGTTTCCTACATTAAAAGCGTTTTATTTAAACATTATGCCAGAGTCAAAGTCATATAGGTAATATAGAGTCAAAGTCAAATATATAGGTAAGTAGAAACACTTATGAACGTTACAGCAATTAAAAACTAAAGACTCTAAATTTACATTTACTACCAGTTCTCAAATCAAGGGTGAAGAACAAACGAGAAGAACTGGCAAGAAACTCGCCCCCACTCCTTTTATCGCCAATTTTTTGTTACAAGTTCCTTAGGTAATTACAGTGTACATTTTTTCCTTGCTAGAGCTGGTTCCCCCCCACTGTTCCCGTTTTATACCGTTATTATGGTTTATTTAAACACAATACAATATGTATGTAATTAAGATGTTGTCTCCCTCTTATTTTGACATTGTTCTTCGGTAACACTTACTAGTTTCTAAATTTTGACAGCTGTTAGACAGTATAGCGACGCATAGCGTCACACTGTTCGCTTATAGGGGACCAGGGCCTAAATTGGTCGACGTGTTAAGGTTGTTAGACGCTCAACGGTTTGTGATTTGTTATGTTTATCGGTAATGCTGTTATAATTTGTGCGGTGTGCTTTATTCGGCTCGCAGTTTATAGAACTAGAATGCGTACTTCCTGCTGATACACTGTTAGAGTCAAGAAGTCTGCTTCTGCTTATGATAATGAGAAGTTTGTGTTACATTAAACAAATTTGGTTAGTAAGCTTAGATTGTGATAGTAACGTAAATACATATGTATGTAACTAGCTAATTCGTCCGCGTAGAATAGTTATTTTAGGCGTCCAAAATTGTTTTTGTAAACCATCTTTTCTTTTTTATAAGTGATCCGTAACCACGACGTCAGTCTCGTTCCATCGTTCTTGCAATTTAATCTTAAAAGTTAGACATATAATGTCAACGACATTTTTTAGGTGATTTGAAGAGGAGAGAATCATTCCTACATATTTTTGTGTATCTTCAACAGTTTTCGCAGTGCACGCAACGGAAACTAAAAATATGAATAATTTTCCCAGTTTTTTCAACATTTTCATTTGTTTCTCGCTACCATTGGTCGCACCCCAATACTTTATAGCCTGGAGCCTTCCTTGATAAATACTCTAACCACAACAAAAAAACATTTTTTAATTCGAACCAAAGGTTCCTGAGATTACGTCTTCAAAGTCTTCAGCCTTTATATTAGTATAAGTTCGCATGCGTCACAATCCTCGCAGACAAAGCAAGGGTCGGGGCTAGTTTAAGCACACATACACACGTCGATAATTGCAATGATATAGTGGATGTCAGATCCTACGTAAACCAGCTTACGATTGACAGGCGGAGTCGAAGAAATTTAGCCACGTCATCAGCGCTACGATTTATGGCATGTCCATTGTGGCTTAGGAATACTGGGATTATGTGGGTTTTGAATTAATTTATGGGGGAATGAAGGTTTAATGGCGGTACAATTCTGCAGAGCTAATTGGGTGCTTTGTGTGTCTATGTTATAGATACTACGTGATTCAAAAGGTTAATTGCTTAAGAATTAAGTACTGTCTGGATTTAACGCGAGTTGTACACATTTAAGTAAAATACTAACGGTTTAAAACGCGATATATATTCGATAAACTTATGCGCGTCTCGGCGTGACCAAGGCTGCTGCAAAACATTCAAAACGTCGGGCCGTAGTTAAAATATTGTTCGAATAAGTTTAACTAATAAATATCGCGTTTAAAACCGTTAAAGTGTATTTTTTTAATTGGTTTATTAACAATTCTTAATTTTTTTTTATAATAATAAGTCTTAAAATTTATTGGTTGCTAGAAAAGGAAACATAGACAGCTGTATCCCAATTATGTGCCACCGATTTTTTTTAAATAATTGTATTAATTATGGTTATTATCTATTAGATAAACTTATTATTATTATATTTTTAAAAGTGCAATTAATTCTTATCATACAAAACTCTCAAATATAATAGTTTTTGTAAATAAAGCGTGGTTATATCAATAACTAAAAGACATATGTAGATGGCGCCACAATCGCATTCATATAAATATCCGATGCGCCATTTTAACGTAAAAATTGTAGAAACAAACGCATACTCGCAGTACGGTCGGCATGATTGTATATCAGGGATCATAGCCATTGCTATTCCACGCTAATTCGTTAGAGAACTGTAACAAGCCGAAAGGGCGGTCGTGCGCCGGCGCACGGAAGTATGGAAATGTGCACCTGCCGGCTGCCACTCACGCCACCCACTGCGTCAGATAAACGAGCACTTAGGCCACGCTGGCCCGCGCCCAGCCCTCTCTCGCCCGCTACCGTTTGATTGAACTACTGCATGCAGAACTGTTTTACATGAGACTCACTAGAGTGACGGCGTCGGATAGAAGGAATGACGTAAGACTTACTACTACTTACTAGCTGCCTAGTCTGTAAAGCTCTAGACTTTAGAGTAAGCAATACAAATGGCCATTTATTGAGCTTAATTTATTAGGTAAATAAAAAATAATCTTGGAAATAATCCAAGTTTACTTTGATCGATAGCATAAACAATTTTTAAATTGCTTTGAAGTACAAACGTATTCCCAGGGCTCCCTCGAAGGCAACGTAGCATTCTGGTTGTGTATTTAGTGGTTCTGGTTGATTATTGTCTCCCTTTTTCCCAGATTTACCTACCACACTCTCCACGTCACTATTGCCCGACGTGGGCGTGCATTAGGCATTCACACCATCAGTTAAACAATAGATTTATTTTTCAAGAGTCAAGCGTTTGAGAGATGTCAAATGATAGAGATTAATGTATTGATATAATACGAAGTTTGTTTTATTTCATGGCGACGATGGCGAAGAGTGCGATATATGTACCTACCATCGAACAAGATGTGCTGTCGATTTTGACTTAGAGTACTCAGAATTGGAGCTTATTTAAAATAAGAACAAAGTATCGTTCCATACTCAAACTTCATATGATTACAAAATTTTCATTATCAAAGACAAAAATAATTGTATACAATTATTTTTGTCTTTGGAGCTTCATTAAATGTTTTTATATTACTTGACTCTTTGATACCTGTATAACACCATGCTGGCCACACTATTTTGCCTTCTGTCTCCACGTCACGTCGAGGTATTGAGGCCAGCATCAGACCAGGGTTGGAGCATTGGTCCTCAGCATCAGCACTTTCCTGGAGAACAAATGAAATATGACAACTAACTGATAATGCAATAAACAAGTAAACAACAAAAGAAAATCTAACATCTACTTACACTGAATTCAATCCAAGTTTATATCCTCTATGTTTAAAACACTAAATCACTAGATATTAATAAACCGTTTTTTGGAAAGAGGTGAAAATCTGAGCTTTATAAAACATGAAAATAAAATGGACGTAAAGAATTATTTAGTTTCAAATGTGAGCGCGCCACTAGTTCAAAGGTTTGTCGCATGGTGGCGCGCTAGTGTCACACTCATTATATAATCTGAAAACTTACAGAATGATATCAATCTGTGCTTGTACGAAATATTGTGTAATATAATTGTTTATATTCGAAAAAGTGCGAATAATATTTTTTTATTGTCTTTTTTTTGTCAGCTGAGATAATGTTAGTTGTAAGATTATTTTAAGGTACACAGTTGTATTAATTAGGTAAGAATTAAAAGTATTGTTTGGTTATGTAAATAAACTTTACTTATTTTTCAGAAACCACCTAAAGTATTATTATGTCACTAATAATCTTATATGAATGATATATGTTAAACATTTTTTTACGGTTTAAAGTGAGAAATAAAATAAAAGTGTTTTATTTATATTATTTGGTACTTAGTAAACTTATGTAGGGTATGTCTATTGTCTAAGTGAAATCTGCTACACTAGCGCCATCTGTTACGTAGGTAGATGATAAACATATTTACAATTGATTCTTTCGGCCCGACTTTTCGAATGCTTTGGAGCAGTCATGGTCACGGCGGCGTTTGTTTTATTTAAATGTCTACTGCGTCCGTCAACTTCAGATACCAAATAAATTAACTCATATATTTAACGTTTGAAACCGTTGAAAGTGTTGTATTTAAATAACAGTTTTAAATTCAAATATAAATTGCAATAGTCCTACGTAGTAAGAGGAAATAAACAAGACTAATTCAAATTCTACTCAACAACGCGTTGATAAATCTACTCTAACGCGAAAAACAGTCTAATATATTACTGTAACCCAGAAAGTGTGAAAGTACGCGTAAGATCATAGATTTGAAGTGGCAGTGATATCCCATTAGTTTGTTTTTAAGAGGTGAGTTTAATTTGAATAGCGTTCAAAGCACTTAACAGCGGTTTAAATGATTTACACGTAGCGTAAATAGAATTCCTTAAAGCTGGAACTACATAGAAAATTTAAATAATGAAATAAAATAAATTTAAATGAAATTGAAAAGTTTTCTATCTAAATACTGTCTGTAGTTTACGCGAGAAGTACAGAAAATCAATAAACTTTAACGGTCGTTAAATATCGCGTTTTAAACCGTAAAGTGTTTTATTTAATTTCGCGTAAACTACAGAGAGTATTTAGATAGAAAACTATTCAATTGTCATTTTAAATACAAATTCACTTTGAACAATCTCATATCTTGGTATCTCAAGGCGTGTTTTGAGCCCTATATTTTTTGTGGATCAGGCAATGCGTTAGAGGGTTACTACTTGTTTGTATATAAGCGAACAGACACAGAAATATGTCTACCGTGGGATATGAAATTTGTTACAAATATATTTTAAGTATAGAATTAATATAATAAGTATGATTATAACTTTAAAGTATTGAATAGCCTTAGCTTGGTTAATCTTTGTTTAATTAAAATCGGATGTTAGTAAAAGATTCAAGATAAAACTCTATATCTACAGACAAACTAGACATGAATAAAATCTAGTTTAAAATAAATTTCAATTGAAATCAGTGTTGCCACAGTATGATACACTTATTAACGTTCTCATCAATTGACATCAGTGTATAATGGCAGTCGATTATACAGAGTGTTCTTTAAAAATGCAAAAGCTATTAAAACATAAGTAACTCAGGTCATAAAAATTGCGGTAAGGCTACTCTACCTCTAGCGGCCTCAAATACTGTCATCTACCATTGTTCATTGTATTGAGATTTGATGAGGGTCTGCTAAATGGAATCGTCGTGAGTTTTTTTCTAAGTAAAATATAAGTAAACATAGCTCTCCCAGTTCAAAGGAAACCACTTGAACTGCTCCATTATATATAATTAAAATGGCTAGAAGAGAAACTAGTATAGTTAGGTCATAAATAATAATCTCATGGCATTACGTAAAGAAAGTATCGCGACAAGCGTGCCACCTGACGTTAAACGCTGCAATTATTCGCAGAGATAAGTGTCATGCGCACTCCGCGCATGTCAATTAGATATTTTTACCGCCATAAATCTATATATAATAGCTACCGATGTGAAAGGTGTTGGTTCTATCGATATACCGATTTTTTTTCTGATCAGTAAAAATAAAACTGAAGAGTTACTTTGTTTGGAAGCACTAATCTCGGGAACTACTGGTTCGAATTGAAACATTCTTCTTGTGTTAGTGAAGAGCTTTTCGGGAGGCTTGAAGTTATAAAACCAGGAGCAAAAATCAATGGGAAATGTGGAGAAAAGGGGGAATATGTATCAAAAAATGATTCCTTTTTAAGTGATCTCCGAAATCTGCAAGAACTATGGGTTGCGGATGACGTCGTGGGCTATAAGCAGTAAGAATATAGTATGGGCGACAGAAATAATTAAAAAAGGGAGAATGATATTGTTGACTAGGCTGTAAGAAATTGCTTAGTAGTGATAAGGTCGTTTGTTACACTCTATAATAATAATGGTCTAATTGCTAAACACATTTTTATTACAAAAAACGTAAGGGTATGTTTGTATGTTTATAAATACTATGTTTTTAAATATCGTGATTTGATTCATTAAATATTTTATTCTTAAACTATTTTACTAACATTAAATTCGATTATACATCTAATTATTATATATATATACATTAATATGTTATGCTTATTTTATTCAAGAAAATTAGTGTTGCTTAGAGGAACAGCCTGTATATAGAATTCGTGCCAATTATAGGTCCGAGCCACTGGACCACCATCAAAGAGTTAAGAGTCCAAGAAATTGGAGTCGTGCACGTGTTGGACTAATAAGATTAGCCTCTGATGGAGAAAATCGCGGATTTGACATTACGGTATAGAACTGTCAAAATAACGGGAAACGAATAAAAAATTAGTGACATTATGTACAGTAGTTATCTTTTCCATATTTAAAATTTACGTTTTTCTTATTACGTTACTTACACTTTGATTTCTCTTGGTGATTTTTTTATTCCATATGTTTTTTAATGGAAATAAAATCCAAATCCCTAGTGCTAAATGTGTTGCGAATTATGGGAAACTTGTGAAAAAAATTTACGGACCCGATGGTGTAATGGTAGCAATGTAGCTCGATCCCCGCCTAGTTCAACGTTTCTAACAATTTTTTTTCTGAAACACGTTGGACTTCGTCACGATCTCGTTATTAAATGGGTGGTAGGATAATAAAATATTTCACACATAATGTATATTTTTTTCTTTATCGTATTAGGTTTAACCTGTAAAAAATAATAAATAATGAATGTAAGAAGTAATTTAATGCAATATCTAAAAGAGATTTATCTCTTTTCCAGTATTCGAACACAGGACCTCGCGCTTACACTATGATATAGATAGACATGCTTATAGATACTAGGAGCTATTAAGGTAGACACCTATATGACACTTTCAAATTATTCAGTAGTATATTTATTGTGACTAGCTGACCTGGCAAACTTTATTTTACCACTGGGTTACATAATCTGTCGCGGATATTTTTTAGATTATTAAAAGGAGAATAATTTATATGAATTTTTGGTGTTTTAAACCGTTTTCGCAGCGGACGGAAACCGTCAAAGTTGAGTAATTTTTCCTGCGTATTCCACATTCCCCACTCTTTCCTCGCTTATAGGTGAAAACTTTTCTCAATAAATGGTTCTAACAAAAATTATTTTCCAATTCGAACCAGTGGTTCCTGAGATTTGCGCGGTCAAACAAATAAACTCTTCAGCTTTATACATTAGTACATAAATGACACAGTACACCCGATGTAAGGTAATACTTTTCGAAATTCACTGTGAGAGTGGCTTGACATTCACATTCTGACCCTGGCTTTTTATGTGGTACCCGATACTTCATTCATATTCAATTGTCATATCGCATAGCACTTTATTGTGAATGGTATTATGTTCATGTCAAAATATTATTCACTGCGAGACTACCTTGAGAAGGTCGACGAAATTGCTTCTCTAAGTGTATAACTAAGTTTGAAATAATACCGTATTGTTTAAAATATAAGTACATTTAAATAAAACATTTAAACGGCGCGAGAGGTGCGTGTATCAATAGGTTGAAAGTCGACGATGACGTGTGGGACTCGGTAGCTCATTTATTTAGAGCAACAGCACGATACTACAATGTGGATGCCGGCTCAAGTCCATGCCTGAGTTTTACGATTTAAACCGAATGTTTATTTAAACTTATTTGAAAATTATTTTAACTACAATCCGACGTTTCGGACGCTTTACAGTAGCTGTGGCCCTGGAGAGACTGTAAATGAAGGGTGTCCATGTCAAAGTTAAATATGTGACGCTAGCGCCATCTGTTTCGTAGCGTAACACTGACAGTAGTTAATGGTTGGTATGTAAGTAAAAATAGCTAAGTAAAAGTAAGAAAACATTACCCAATGATATAATTTCGATGATATAAATCGATAGCAATCTGATACAGCCATCATTAATTCGATTAAGTTGTTACGTTAACGATCTAGGACGGTAACGGGACATTTTATGAATGGCAGCGCGCGGTGGGTTTCCGAAATGATTGGTGTAACAATACAATGTACAATTTTATGGGCCCGTATCTCAATTTAATATTGCCACTATTTAGACGGTATTGTCTTTATGTTTATTGTGCTGTCGTGGAGAGTAAATACTATTTATTTGCATTTGATCGAGTCTTTAAAATAAACAGAACGAAAGCGTCCACAGATAAGAAAAATGTGCGAATATCCAAAACTAATAGATAGGCCAACAGCGCATTTGTTTAGATGTTATATGGCTGTGATATTTCACTTGCCATCAAGTTAATTCCATGTTCGTCTATACTTATATGTAAAACTGAAAAAAAATGTTTGTTCGTTTAAACACGCTAATCTCAGTTGAGAGTTGAAAACTTATTTATGTGTTGGTTAGCATTTATCAAGGAAGGCTATAAAGCATCGCGCTGTGGCTAATACGTGCGAAGAATCAGAGGGATAAAAAATGGGCAAATTCATCATTGTGGCTTTCCGATTGGCACTGCAATACAACAACAAAAATGATAAAAACTCAAAAATGTATAAAATATTGATTTCTCTTTAAATGACCTAAACGATGTCCGTGACAAGTACTGTCACGTCTGTCTTTTAACATTAACAAGCAGGAACGACGGGACGCGACCGACGTCAAAACAGCTAGCTTAACAAAGATAAGGAGGAGGTTTGCGAAAACAAATTTAGATGCCCAAAATAATCTATTCTACGCGAAGTCGCTGACACAGCTAGTGTCACATAAAAGAGTAACATTTGAAAGAATTTTGACCACCCGCAAACACTAAGTAGAGATCGAATCGTAACCTTTGAGATCTATCCATTAATTTTCTAATGTTGAAACGCGTATCGGCGCTTATTAATGAGAGGGTCGAAGGTAAGCGGCTGGATCAAAGCGGGGGTTCCATAAGAATGATTTATACGATGTACGGCTTGAGTTATCGTTAGTATTTACTTAACGACCTCACGAGTTGATATCCTTAGGTATTTAGTGAAGGTTATAATTAATAGCGCGTTAAAAAGTGTCCTAACTTCTAATCCCAGTGCAATTACGAGAATAGCATTTTTTTTGGAGGTACAGAGGTTGGCACCAACAGACAGTAATTACTGTTGCTGCAAGTCAACTTGTTTAGAAATAAATACTTGACATATGTTTTAAATTATAAATAAATATATTTCACGTTTTAAACCGTTTTAAGACATGATTTCTTGTTTACGTATGTATGTAGCAAAATGATATATAAAACTATTTAATACTAAGTAATATACATATAAACTTTTATAATTATGCTGTTGTATTTTTTGTTCGATCTCAGCAATTTAAATGTAACTTTCAACTTATAATGGTAAACATTGTAAGGGGACAAATATACGGTGCTACGAAAGCATCCGAAAAGTCGGGTCGTAGTTAAAATAAATTCAAATTGATTAACGATTATTAAAAAAATTAAATAAAAGGTTTTTTTTTCATATGGTCATAACATATACTTATTTAAAGCTAATGACAATGTTTTTTCATTAATGAACCTCATTTTACCATCACGTTAGAAAGGTCAACAACACATTCGGAACACGATTAATAATATGTTTTACAAGGCGTTCTACAATACAGCCCACATTAAAATGATCGATGCTTCGCGCAACGAATTCATTAATGATCCATTTAGCCCAATTAATAATGATATCAAAAATGTATCATTAATCAGACCAATTTCGAATTGTCTAGACACGAAGGAAAGGCGTGAAATTAGAAATACCTATTGTAACAATGATTTAAGAGAGAAAGTGCTCACGCGCATTCAAATTTAGTCTTTGTTTTTGACACCTTTTTATGTAATAAAAATGATTCCGCAAGTGAATTGGTAAACGGGTTTTTGATTAGTTAAGTATATCAGTGTAATTAAAAAAGTCTAATAGCGATGTATGGCTAATCAATGGGTCGTGGGCGCAATCCCCCCCCCCTGTGTCACATTGTTTATAGAACTAAGAAAATATTGAAATTCATTATTTATAAAACACATTTTGTATTGAGTACTAGTACTAGCATCTAGTTTTGTAAACCATAATCCTTACTTTATTCAAATAACACACTTTTAACGGTTTAAGACGCGAAGTTTATTAGTTAAACTTATGTGAAAATTATTTTAACTACGGACCGATGTTTCGGACGCTTTGCAGCAGCCGTGGTCGCAAGGACGCGTAGGGCTGTAGTAAAAATAATTTTGAAATGAGCTTAACTAATATATATCGCGTTTTAAACGGTTAAAATGTTTTATTACAACATATTCCTCCTTTACACGCACAGTCGGTCCGAAGGCATCGCACAAGTCACGAACGATTCTTAGCAATACAAAGAGGATCTCGTGCGAGAGCGCTCAGTATTGTTAATCGCTAATTGTGCACCGTCCTACTTCTGAGAACAAAAGGCATCGCTCGTATTCGAACCTTGGCCTGACCTCTGCTCATCCTTGCTCCACATGAACGCTAAAATACTCTTGAACCTTAACCGAACGAATTAAGCAAGATGATTGACTATTGTCTATAGTTTACGCGAGTTGTACAGATGTAAGAAAAAAATTAACAGTTTAAAACGCGAAATGTATTAGTTAACTTATTCACAATTCACGGCTCGACGTTTCGGATGCAGCGGCACCGTGGTAATACATTTCGTTATCTATCTATACTAATATATGAGCCGCTTATTTGGAAAGTGACCTAACTCCGTTTTTCAATTTTTTGTCGGTTACCATGGTTACATGTACAACTTCATGTTATTTATCAGTGACGGACTTCAGATTGCTTATATTCAGAGAAAATACGATACATTTTTTACACATAAGTTTTCCGAGTTAATTGAATAAATTATAAAGTTGCAGAGTTTGTTTGTTTGAACGCACTAATCTCAGGAACTACGGGTTCGAAATGAACGAAAATTCTTTTTTTTGTGTTGGTTAGAACGTTAATCAAGGAAGGCTGTAAGCTATAAAACATCGCGCTGTGACTAATAGAAGCGTAGATACAGCGAGAAATGTCAACAAATCGCGCGAACTTTTCCATCTCTCTGGGTCAAATGCGTACGCTGCGAAAACGGTCCAAGACACCCAAAAAATATGTAGACAAGAATGATTCCTCTTTAAATGATCTAAAAATATCCCCTGCAGTATATATCTATAATATATTTTAAGATTAACTTGCAAGAACGACAGGAGTCAGACGACGTCGTGACAGCTATAACTTATAAAGATGAGATTTGCAAAAATAAATATTGAAGCCCAAAATAACTATTCTACACGGACGAAGTCGCTACTACAGCTAGTTATATGTGCACTGTAAATAACGTCCATCTAAGTGTTTGTCTGTCCGTCCTACAGGCGACCTCCGACAGGTCGCTGTGACCGGCCGCCATTAGCATACGGACAAAGCCTCCGAATAAATACATTTGACGCACGACACTCACTCGTTGAGCGGTAAAATGTTGCTCTAACTTTTATTACGTCACATTTAATTTATCTATACCAACTCCTTTACAGTCAGTTCTGTGACTGGCTCCTCTTTAAACGATCTAAATAAAAGTCCGCGATGCTATATGTCTATCTTTTAAGATTATCTTGCAAGAACTAGCTTAAGTTTGTAGATGTAAGTGTGAGGGATTTGCAAAACGAATTTGGATGTCCAAAATAACGATTCTCGGACGAAGTCGCCGACACAGCTAGTTAGGTTATATTTATATGTAACATTTGTTTTATGAATTATGTTAGATTTTACCGAGTGATCCGTGATACGTACTATTAGACGTTTTCTATTTTTTCGTCATGGGAAGAAAATATTAACTTTTGACAGGCTCGTTATGGGTTAATTTGATCCCCAGTATATCCAACACTTTTCTAATTGATGTATAATTTAATGTCCGAAATCTGGGTATTAAACACCGCAGATAAAAAAATCATCAAGTGTAATGGCGTATCGATTTTAGTCTGTCGATTTCAGAATATCCAAAGCCAAAATATTTCAACTTCGCATTTCGTTTAGGTATTATATCATACGTTGTGTAACAACTAATACAATATGATTACGTGTACATATTATAAATCATACTATCGTCAAGGTAAAAATATTCCTAGTTAACAATAAGCAACATTTTAGCGCCCCCATTGTGTTATCGGTAGCCTTTATCATGCAAAATTGTTTCAAGTTTGGTTCAGTCCTGATTTCTCGGTTGAAAACAATGCTTTAGTTCAGACAAGCTCGTAGAGTAAAAAAATAAGAAAATCAAACTTGTATTTTAGTTCTAACCGCCATATTTGATTTTTATTGTTAATAATAATTTAAATAGTTAAATAAAAACAACTAGTCGTTCAAACTTTTTCGTTTAAGGCTGTTATTAAAATGAGCCCTAGTCGCGTAAACTGTACTTAAATTTTGTGTAATTTGTAAAAATTACTCCAATATAACTGGACCCTCGTGTCAGAAAATACATATTTAAATTATTTTTAAATAATATGCCTATTTACTGTCTGCATGTATTACCAATTATGAAGCATGTCACGGTTATTACACATGACGTCACAGTTCCTCCATGAGAAGTGTTATCACTAAACCTCCAACGACCTCATAAACGGTTATTTTGTTCGCGATGTTTACAAAATTTTGTTTTTGCAAACCTCCTCCTCATTTCTATAAACTCACAATATCATCCGCGTCCCGTAGTTCTTGCGAATTTATCTTAAAAGATAGACATACTGTTGAGGGACATTTATTTAGATCGTTTAAAAAGGAATCATTGTGACATACATATTTTTGGGTAACTCGACGCGCCCTTTTAAAGCGCACGCGACAGAAACCGTTAAAGATGAATATTTTTTTCCTGTTTTTTCCACATTTCCCACTTTATCTTATTTTCTATTGATTGTAGCGAATTGTTTTATAGCTTAAAGCATTTCTCGATAAATGTTCCAACCAATACAAAAATATGTATTCAATTCGAACCAGTTCAAACAAACCAACTCTTCAGTTTAATAATATTAGTATAGATCATTTGATTGATCGTATTGTATGAGACATGTTTCCATTTTCCGAGTCATCCAGGTTACCGCGACCTTCGGGTCAGGCAGGTGACGGGTCGTAGCGCGTGCGCATGCGTCACTCGGCAAATAGGTACCTCTATTTACGCCTCAATAAAATTATACAATCGATGTGTGTGTTTGTGGTACTTTGTAATTAACAGGAATTTTACTCGGACATATTATCTAGTTTCTCATTTTAACTAGCTGTGTTATTATGGGCATTAAAATTGTTTTTGCAAAACTTCTCCACAGCTTTATAAATTATATATTTTATTATTACCTCATTATTGTTATATATCATCTTTCCTCCAATCTTTATCAACTTGTAAGTGGAAAATTACACTTACAACTTGATAAAAATTAATAAGAAATGTTCACTTATACCAAATATTATTATATTTACAGCATATTATTTGAGTTAGGTACCATGTCGAAAGCCAACACCACATCCCTGTAAAACGAGCAATACGTAAAGCGAGATAAGATATCTACAAAAACAAGTACTTGTCCATGCTATAGTGTTTATTGCGGACGTCACACATTAGTCCTGGCTATCGCTCTGCGATTATCGGTCAGCAGTAGGTCAGCCATTGTTCGAGGTGAACAAAAATGTCTTGTTGACTCCGAGAACATCTAGACGAGCCTATCAGATGCTTGAAAATAACCTTAGCTGATATTTATTAATGCGCCCCATAATAAACTCGGGTAAGTAAGGAATCCTTCAAGGTAGGATACTTGTACCTGTACTTTTCCTTTTATGCATTACTAGTATTAAACATGTGAGAGTAGAAACTAGCTATAAGACGAGTATTTTAAAAATAAATTTTGCGATCAAAAAAAAATTCGTAAATAAAACATTTATTTGCCAAAGAATAATGTTTTAGATTAGATGTGATAGAAATGTCAAAAAAGAAACGAAACGAGACAGTAATGCTTGCAAAATAGCAAATTTATTCAAGAATTCAACTCATATTTATAGACATTTATAAAAATATTTTATTTATGCCATTGGTATTTGTGTTGGAGAAAATATGCTGTATTCTGTTCGAAGCGATTTGACAGGCGTCATTTATAATACCATAAACAATGATAGGAGTATACTTAATCCGAATTTATAGTGTCAAATGTTTCAAAAAGTGGCTCGATCCACGCAGATAAGTAAAAACATAAAATAAAATGAAATGTGCTGTTTATATCGAACGAAGAAAACGAAATAGAGCTATTTAAGTAAAATACTGATGTTACTTATCTAAATAGTCGAGTTATGTCTTCGTTGACGCCTAAGTCCAACGTAATGTACTCTTAAGTAGGTGTTAGATATAACGGAGATGTTATGAATATAAATTATTGTGATGTTGGTTAGGTATTTGTTCCTTTTTAGCATCTTGTTTTTGTTTGTTTAGTACTAGCAGTATCGAAATAAGAATATTTACTTTATATGATATTTAAAATTAGTGTCTACGATCATTTATTAATTTAAATTCCAAAAGTGGTAATTGTTTCAAAAGTATTTTACAAATCAAATTAAATAAAATCTTATAGGTAGGCATATTATTATGGCGTGATTATTAACAACAGATTTAAAGCTGAGAATAACGTAGATTTTATTCTCAGGAAAAAAAATGAAGAAAATCCACCGTTTCAAATTGAAAAACTATTCAACACCAAAATGCTTAAAACATGAAACTGCGATAACGCGCGTCGCACATTATTTCATTAATAAACGGAATTAGAACTTATACCCGTGTGTTTAGCGTTATTTTCGATTGTACAACGTCTGTTATAAGGCTTTTTACAATTACCAAAGGTGAGTAAAGAGGTCGAATGATAAGAGCCATAGTTTAAACGGAGGTCGCGTGGAAAACGAAAATATTATTAGAACGTTAATTATTTTAACCGTTTTTTCGTATCGTTAACCTGCTTTTGTTTCTCGGTACAAATGGCGATAATTGGTTTTAATTAACAGAAGCAAGTGTTACATACGACAACCAGTATGTCGATTAGTAATTACTTAGATTAGATATGAAGGTTTACAAGATATACAAAAAGAAAACGTGAAAACAGTATAAGAAAGCCTTGAACATATTATTTCGTAAGTATTCCTTTTATTTATGATAGAGCAGGACAGACGTATCATGGGTTTCGCTTGATGTATCCGTGATATATCCAAGCCTATAGCATCGACCTACGACCATACGCTGTCGACCTATTTTGGCTTTGGATATTCGGAAAACCACAAACTGCTTCACGGCTTTTTCATCTGTGGACGGTGGTTCGTCACGCGGACGGGATTTGTACATTCCTACCACCCATATGATTCTATATTCCTTGAGATATGTTCTTTATAAGTTTAATTTCAGTAGAACTATACCTAACATTATTTTATCCAGATTTGAATTTTAG